GCTACACTGAACCAACGAAATGCTGAAACACAAGCAGCCAATATTGCATGTTATTAATTAATTATGCCCTTGTTAATTCATAGCATTTATATTTAAAACTTATTGGAAATTGTTAAAATGGTACAAAATATACTAAGATAGCTCGCAATATGCTTGAGGGGTCCACCAAAGTATAGCTTATATGTTGGAAACACTGTATTGTTCAGAAAATGTAGAAAATGAGACTACATCTACCACATTTATGTACCAGCATAGGCAGATAAGTACATGAAAAATATCATCTATTGGCACCAGCACATTATTCCCCTATCAGTGTATAATATTAATAGATACACACATATACAGACTAAAACTAAAGCACGAGCTTAGAGTGCGGTAATCAGTTAGATCTGCAGCTGGAATCAGTCAGACACACACACACACCACACACACACACACTTGCATCATTAACTCACTGCTGGCCTGGAATCTCAGCTATGGTAAAGAGAATATGGGAGGCATGCGCTGTAGTCATGGGCTTGGGCTCTGGGCCTCTGCTTCTGATGCATTTTTTGTTACTTTGTGAGAACGTGTTGATAGTCCATAAACGGACAGCCTGTTCCTCCCTGTGTAACACCAACATCCTGTCTGCTGTCTGTCTGTCCGCCTGTCTCTTTTCATCAGTCATCTCCCTCTCTTTCTGTCTGTTTTTTTCTCTCTCTGCTGTATTTCTCGGTATGGAGTTAGGACTCCAGTTTTAGCTAGAATGGGAGGTCTTGGACAGATCTGGCTCTTCATTCACTGTCCTGCTATTCTCTGGCCCAGCCTGGCCACTGCCCTGTAATTACAGCTAAGCCATGGGCTCTCCAGCCCAGCTAACTATGTGGTACTAGAAAGAGTTATAACATCACAGGTCCTTAAAGAGTGTGTCAGATCAGCGTACAGCACAAGGCTCGGCTAAGCAGCTTGCTGACATTGTTCAGCATCTGAAAAATGCCAGAAGTTCAGCTTCACCATGTTTTTCTTTTGCCGGTTATCAGGAATTAGGAAAAGAGGGAAGGTTCCTTTCAAACAGAACTTGATTTATCTCTGTACTAGAATGCTGGACCACTTGTGAATCCAAGAAGATCCAAGAGTTTCCTCTCTCTTTTATTATTAATTTTTTTGGAGGAGGAGGCAGAAGTGATGGAGGTTTATACGTCAAACTAGTTGATGATTACTTTCGAGCAAGAGGAATTTCTCCAACATTGATATAATGTTTTTGCTGAATAGTTGGTGAGTCCCGCAAGCTGTTCGGCGTCCATACGCAAGGAGATTGGAATGCAACTCTTGGAATTTCTCTGTGTAAGGAGTGTTCCACTGGGAATCTCAATAATCTGAAGCACTGTGTTGGGAGAACTGGAGAATGGGATAAGTATCCTCAGTAGAGCGAGAAGCAAATGAATTTTCATTAGCTAAACATTTGATGCTCAGATTCAGTGTTACTCATGCAGCTTCATTAATGCTTCAGCCTTAAATTGATAACCTGCTTGTTGCTTTGGAGCTTGGAAATTGAGGCTGAAAATGTGGATATGTTTCTGTTGTGTTCTACTTTGCAAGTGTAGTTTTGACATAACTGGTTTCAACATTTTAAAAGTTATTCATTTTCGTTTAATTCTAAGACCCATAATGAGTAGTTAGCCTTATGTAGTGTTGCCTGCAATTCCGTTTTCCAAATGTGGTCTGAAGCCCTGTAATTTCAAAGGTTTGAATCTCAAATGTAACACTCGTGTTCACTGAGAAATCTATATGTTACCTGAACTATACAATAAGAGTACTCAGTTGTTAGGTCAAATATCAACAGCAAAATCATGGGGAAAAATGGACAGCCAGGAGCATAATTTCCTAAGTGTTTAATGGTCTCTCAACAGCACAGCTGCGTTTCAGCCCATTTCAGCCCATTTCAGAGTTTATGTCTTCTTGGGGTATTTCCATACATTTGAATAGACTGTTGTGTATGGACAAAACCTACAATCTATATACTCACGCTATGTGAAAACAGTCATGCTACTTGAAACACAGCCTCTTCAAACAGTTCTGTCAATGAACAGTTTCAAATAAAGCAGGTTCATTTAAAACAACATGCTGAGAAACTGAGCAGCGCTGCGAACACTGTGCAATGAAGCTAAAGCGGGAAATGTATATGATAGGGCAATACGCTCTCTTTACAGCCTATTTTACAAAACAAATCACCATATTAACATTTATACTTGGCTATTTTATTCAGTCAGAATAGTAGTCAGCATAGATGGACTTTGATAGCAAATGGCAACTTTTTTCGACTTTTGACTTTAGCTAGTCTTCACCCGTGTGAAGCAGATGTGATTGTGTGGTTAAAATCACACAGTGTATTCTTAGTGGCAATATACCAAGGGGGAATGTTTAAAGTACCTTTGTGTCCGACTGTCGCGGAGTCAGTATGAGCAGAGCCTCCTTCACTGCGTTTGTACACTAAGCTTACATCACACGGTATCAATGGGTATTTGAATGTTGGTTTCAGTGAATTTTTGTGAGTACGAGTAAATCAGCGTGGTATTAGCCCAACACCCGATACCAGCATCAGTATCGATGGATCCCTAGTATTGACAAATGCAAAAATGAGTGCCGTGCTAATAGCTCCCACTTGTGGAGAAACCTCAGACTACTAAACAGGTGCGAGTGAGTTAGTGTGCTCTCATTAATGTAAAGTTTTCAGTTTTTAAAAAATATTTTCACAGCAGCATCTGACTTTTTTGATACTGAAGCATGTGTGTAGACGTACATTGTATGACAGGACTAGAATGACAAATTCTTACTTTTGGCGTCAGTATTTGTTGGCTTAATGGCCTGAGTGCAAATGTTTATCCCCAGCTGGATCTACCCCCGGATCCAGCATATTATAAGCCTTTTTACAAAGTGATATTATTACTCGGCAGTATCAAGAAGCCTAAGATACTGTAGTATGAAGAGTGTCCCACCCATATCCATTAGCTAAAATTCTGATTCATATCAATAGGGTATCGCAATCCACACCTCACCACCCGTCTTCGAGCTGTAAGAAGTTCAGCACATACTCTTTGTGATGGGGTGTGTGAGGCCCTCGATTTCCTACCGTTGGCCCATACACACAATGACAGGATGTGTGTGTTTGGCAAAGCTATTGCCGGGCAGGAAGAAGGCATTTCTGTTTGACTTTTCAGCACTATGGACTTTAAAGGCCATCTGGAATGTGCAGGGGTTCGAGACCAGCCCAGGGAAAGGTCTTCTTTCTTTTTTGACTGGAAGACGTGGCTTTAGATCTGGTGCTACTGATAAGGGCTACAGTTTATATTTAACTCTCTCAGCTCTGTCTTTTCAGGGTTATTAATAATTTTCTAGAGAAAGTACACTCCTCTTACTAAGGTGCAGTTTTTAGCAGATGACTCCTCATTTTTCAACCTGGTTTTGTAACTTTTACTATCAGATCATTGCAGTGTGATGGTAGAGTAAGATGGAGGCAATTGCAGCTGGTCATAGGCACTGCAAATCACATGTCCACTTGCTGAGGTCATAGGCTGGCAGCACCAGAGTTGAATGTCACACGTTCACACACACAGACAGCTGTAGGGGTCAAGATGGGTCATTGTGCTGGTCGGTGTGTGTGTGTGTGTGTGTGTGTGTGTGTGTGTGTGTGTGTGTGTCTGCTTTTGAATTTAAGGCTGAATCTCTCTCTGTCAATAAAAGAATACCCCTGTTCATGACACACAAACTGCTTTCAATGTGATTGCAATTAATTAATTATGACCACAACAAACATAAACAATGGCAGTGTCACTCCAGAAAGAGACATTTACATACACCATACTTGCAGACTGAATTCTGTAGGAGTGGAGAAAAAAGTGATGAAGTATGTGAACAGTCACAGATTGTGTTTTTCGTTCTAGAGCAGTTAACGTGCAGTGTAGTGTTTTAATTAGAAAGCATGTTTGTGTGTTAGGTATAAGCTCCTTTGTTCTGCATGTTTCCTGAGTCTAATTAAAATCATGCGTCTATGACAAGGTTTGTTTAAGAGCCTATGTTTATGTGCATGATCATGGTTATACATATGTGAATCAACCACTAGGATATAATGACCAATTGTAGGTTTCGGTGCTGTACCAGAATTATGGACTTGTGGTATTACACCATATATATTTTACTGTATCCCATGCTGCATATTTAACATGTTTGCACCAGGACTAATAGCTTGTTAATAGCGGTATTTGACAGGTAAAAACTATGCAAGACTGGACTTTACTAATATCTAAAATTTTAAGTAAATAGAGTCCTAAGGTGATGCATCCCTTTGCTGTATCGTAAATAAAGAAAAGACTGCCCCCGGACTGCTGATATTTAACATAAGACACATCTCTTCAATGTCAAGGTCTGTATTAGGGCTTATCATTATCATGACCAGGTACATCACAATATGTGACAACATGCTTTTCTGAGCACAAATGCTGTCTACATTATATTTATCTGAGGCCTGATGAATGTTCTCAACTTTGCCATCATGCTGCGGCACTCTGGTTTAAAACTGCCTTCTTTTTTCCAACACGTTAAACTCTGCAAATAAATAGAAATTATGCACAATAAATAGCAGAAAAATGCCACCTAGAAACTTAGAAAATCAACACAGTGTGCAATTTAATTGGGGTGTATTTAACCCTTTGTAAATGTTTTTTTTTTGTTGTTTTTTTTTGTTTTTTTGAGGGGGGGGAGGCTCTTTTGTTTAAAACAGTGCTAGAAATGTGCAGTGTTTAAAAACATTGGTTCCCTTACAGTTCTTTTTTTCCCCCAAAAATGTATGGTTTTTATGTCCATTCATGAAAAGTTCAATACAATCTACAGATTTTGCTGTTATGCACTTTAGTTCACCTTATGGTTCTACCTCTTGTTTTCTTCTGTATGTGAGCTTTCATGGTGTTCAGTGTTATTGTAGTTTGATTAGCTTTGTCTCTCTCTGTCTTTGTGTGTATGAACAGGATGGCTCTCTGGGTAATATAGATGATCTGGCCCAAGAGTACTCGGAATACTACAACACATGCTTCAGTGACGTCAGCGAGCGTATGGAGGAGCTACGCAAGCGCAGAGTTTCTCAGGAACTAGAGATGGTGAGTTTATTCTTGCACAGTCTTTCGTACATTCACACAGTCTACTATCGAATACCTTTTTACGCATTTTCCTTCTCAGTCCAAATTCACATAGCCTACTTTTGTGTTCTACAGTTGTTCAGAAACTAATCTTGAAGAGATTAAGGAACAGACTGTGTTACTGATTTACATCAGTACATCAAAAACTTAATTAACCTGAGGAGCCCTACATTAAGGCTTGTAAAGTTGAAGAATTTGTCTGGAAACCATTAACACAGTCAAATGCACACCTCTTGACCTTTTTTACTGAGGCCAAGTGCACGTTGCAACATGCTTTTCTAGATTTCTGTTGGATTTTATCTAATGAAAAAGCAGTAATTCTGAAGAGAAGTTTTTTTTTCTCTATGTTTCTGTTTGGCTGTGAATAGTCTGAGACTGTGCCTTGTACAGCATGGCAGTCCTTCTCGCTTGTGCCAAATGTGTCAGAATGCTGGGACGACTTCTTTGTAAAGCAGATCTGGTGAAATGGAGAAACCGCCAGTGTTTCACTAAGTCCAGCTGACTCACATACTCAAGCATTACTTTCAATATTTTCCTGTTTTCTAATGATGAAAAATGCTAATTCTATTAGTGCTGCTTAACCTGGCATCCTAATAGCTGTTTTTACCATAAACCAAGTATGGACAACTTGGCAGTAGAACTGTGCTCCATGGATATGGAAATGACAGGAAACCACAGCATTTTTCCTTCTTTTACTTCTTCATATATTTATTTATTTATTTTTACAAAATGGCCTCTGCAGACCTATGATCACATCACATTTTAAAGAACTGTCCAGTAAATTAAAAAATAAAGACAGTTGTCAGCAAATCTCTCTCTCCTCCTACCCCCAACCCCCCTCTCTCTCTTTCTCTCTTTCTCTCTCTCTCTCTCTCTCTCTCTCTCTCTCTCTCTCTCTCTCTCTCTCTCTCTCTCTCTCTGTTTGGATTGTCTGTAGGGTTTCTCTCCACGATGAGAAGGCCTCTAGCTGGGTTTTCTTTGTTTTTGTTTACTTTGTGTTTCTGAAGACACCGTGGCTTCTCGTACTCAAAGCGCCTGTGTTCTTCCCAGGGATGTAGGCTAGTGGGCCACCCTGGGGGTTGCTAAGAAACGGACAGACTTATTGAAACATGCAGCTGGGGCTGGCATAGCCTAGCTAGGCGATTTTTTTTTCCCCTCTTAAAGAAGCAAAGAGAAAAAACATGAAGTGAGAATGAAAGAAAACATTCTAATGCTCCTGCTCAGCTGTGGTGGCTGACCCGGGTGAGGGCGGGCCGTGTTAGCTAAGCTTTCGTAACACAAGGTCACAGCGCTTTTACTCAGGTGTTCCAGAGCCTTTCATAAACAGTGTATGTAATACTGAATCATACTCTCTTTCATTCATATATGGAATTTTCTAGGTTTGTTCTGCCGCATTAGAATAATGCTGACAAATGCCTGGTATGAGGGGTCGGGGTTCAAAGTAGATCTTGCTCAGCTTAGGCACTCTACAATATGCTCTTTCCGATAAAAGTGTGGAAAAATTTATTTTGATTTTACTGTTGCTTTTCAATTAAGTAAGAAAACAAAACCATTGCGGATATTTTTATATATATAAAACAACTATTTGTATAAAACTATAAAAGCTGATGCTTTTAGCATATATTGCAGCACTCACCTTCATGTCCTTCAAAATTTCATCCTTGGAATGAAGAGCAAGTTTTGCCAAAATAACAATTTCATAGTTTTATTTTGCAAACTTTTGTTAAAAGTGCAAATCCTTTGCCAAAAAGGTTGTTTAAGCACCTGAAAGTTTTGAGTGCTGACATCACAACAACAAAAAACTTTATGGATAAGGCAGGACTTCACAACTGTTCCTCAGTTGCAATTTTATTTTTATAAAAGAATAAATGTTATGACCATATATTTGAACATTCTGACATGGTGTCCACAAATATTTGATGGGTAGTATATCTCTCCTCCCAATTAGTTCAGTGGTCAGGATGCAGACAGCTTGAATCAAAAAACTGTTTTCACTGCTCCGTTGGCAATGCCTTGTCAGTGAGCACTGATTGATTTTTCTGTAGCACTTTTATTATCCATGCTGACTCCTTTAAAAGGGTTTCCCAGTTAATAGTGGAAACTTAAGATGACAGCCCACCAAGACCAAAGGAATGAACTTTCCCCCCTCGGCATAAAGACGAGACTCAAGCCCTGCCATGTGGTTTGTGTTCAGTGTAGGAGAGGGGTTTGTCTTTTCCCAGTGTTATTGATTTATCGATGGTTCATCTTATCATGGTAAAGCAACCTTCGAAGTCTGAGCAGAGATTTTGCGCTCTCTGGGTACATTTTTCAGACTTGGATTAAGCCTAATCCTAGACTAAAAAAAGCCCTTTTAGCTTTTTGCAGCTGAACCACAGAGCTTATCCAAGTCTCCAGATTTAACGTTTTTTTTTAAATATGTATTTCAGGCGTAGATCCATGTAGCTTATTTAAAGTCTCCATCTTTAACCAGTTTCCAGAAAACCAGCCCTAAGGCTGTAGGTGAGAGAGGAAGTCTGTCTGGGTTTGGCCTGTGTGCAGAGACAGTAGGAGTAGTGAAGTAGGTCATCTGTGTCTTTAGTGTCTTTGGTTTTGTGCCATGCTGAAGAGAGAGGAAGTACTAAGCTGGGCTTGCCACAGACTTTAGAGAGCCTTGGCTAACGAAGACTCGGGTAGTTTGGATCAAATTATGAGGATTTACTGGGAACATTAGTATGTTCCACAGCTGGACAGGGCTGCTAGATGAGTTAGAACAGCAGGAAAGCTAGCTCCCTCTTCCTCTCTCTGTTCCTCTGTCTCGTTCCATGCACGCATGCATAGCACATAGGCAGTGCATTCATTCATCCAGAGAATGCCTGGCTTAAGAATGTGGTAATGACTTGAACATGCATTTTGTTTGGTATGAAAATGGTAATGACTTGTACACATTTTCCTCTTTCTTTTCATTTAAGGCTTCATGATGCATGTCTGCAGCTTTGTTTTTAGGATACTGCATATTCTAAAGCTACAATGTAATGATGGACTGTTAAACACTTGCGATCAGTTCAGTAAGCAGTCCATGTTTAAACAGTGTTTTTCTGTTCGTTTTGACTTTTAACTAAGAACTGCTAAAAGTGATATTATTATAGGTAAAAAAGGACATTTGAAGCCTGGTTGACCGTCATCGTCTGGCATGGCACCCTGTCCTTTTGTGCCGCCATTGTGGAAGAATAGAAGGTGAGCAGGACAGATGTAAAGGCACATTGTGTCTTGGTGCAGGTGGCTGCCAGCCAGGCGTATGCTGAATTCCCTCATGGCCAATAGCAGGTGATTATTTCTTTTCTGATTGGCTGTTTAAATGCCAGCCTAATGGGCTTATATTTCTGCCTCCCCTCAGAGGCATGACCTTTTTGCAACCTTTTTAAGACTGCTCACGTCAGAAAGTGTGAAAACATGGTCTCTTCTCTCCTCTCATGTCCATGAAAGTAGGCAGGCAGCTAATCTCTGTTCTTTAGGCGTGTGACCCCTGCAGTAAAGGTCAGGCTGGCTTTAGGGCCTGGGCACAGTCAGAGAGAGTGAGGGTGAAAGGTTGTCCACTATAACCAGAGGCAACACTGAATGCCATTGTCACAGTAGCAGAAGAAACAAGGTTCGTTCAGTCCGTAGCTGAAAAGAAAATCAGACACGCACACAGTCTATATTATGGTGCCTGCGAACAGAGCATGGCAAATGCTCACCACTGGAATTCCATCATTGCGTGTGCACACTTCTTTTAGCTTTCAAAGGAGAAGTCTACATGTAGTTCACAGCGCTGGTCTGCTTTCACTTCTCTGTACGGTGCTTTCTATTACAGCCAATGAGAGCTTTTCTCAGATGCCCCAGACACGCAATCTGAATCGGAATCCAGTTTATTTTGATTCCTCACCCAACGTACAGCAGGATTTTCCCTCATCAGCCTTGAAGGGACACAGCACAGTAAAACTGGACATTCTTTTGATGTAATACACAGTTCAACTCATTCATCATCAAATCAGCAGACTTCACTGCATGAGGTAAAACGTAAATCACGAGAATTTTTGTTATCATGATATACAGTGTACATTTCTGAGCATATAGATATGGTAAGTACTTAATCCCTTAAAATTCCAGGCTTATCACATACTACATACTAATTACAAGTCCCACAATGCAAACTGGCTAAGTTATTCTTAGGTTATAGAAGTGTGTAGTAGAACTTAGGACCCACTGGTGGGTCCTGGCAATTTAGTTGGTTAAAGAACACTGGCCAACTGCATGTTTCATAACAAAGAGAGCACAATTAGTCCAGTTTAACAGGATATAGTGTAGCACAGTATGTGAAATGTTAAATCATAGTCACGGTATAGGTAGTTTATAATGGCAGTTTTTAATCTGCCATTGTAAGGTGATCTCAGCGTGATGCTGCTAGTGTCAGAATACCTTGATATGCACTGTGTATGATGAATATTTTTAAGTATTGTGATTTTATTGTTTATTTTTTCCATATCAACCACAAGTGTTCCTATATGGTTCCTGGTTTGCTAGAAAAAATCACCTGTTATAGAACCATTGTTACATGGAGATTCTTAAACCTTTTCACTTTCACCTAACATATTTCTAAAAATGGTCCTTTAAACAGCCATTCATTGAAAGACTCCATTAGGGAACCAGTAGTAGTTCCTCTGTGGCAGAAAGAACCGGTTTTGGCACCTTTATTTTTATGAATATGTGTGCAGTGCTGTACATACATGCATCCAAACCTCAACTCTCACTCTCTCTCTCTTTCTCTCTCTCTCTCTCTCTCTCTCTCTCTCACACACACACTCATTGTTGTAAGAGCTGTGTGATGATAAAGGCCTTAAGAAAACATCCTGTCACCAGAGTATGCTGTATAGATAATCTCCATCATGCACAGACAACACACCAGCCCACCCTATAGAACTCATATCCCCCCTTCTCTCTCT